GAAGGTATCCACACTCCTTATAACAAATGCTTAGTTCTCCTTCCTAGCCGATGTAGGATCAGATGCAACCCATCTTAAGTTGTAACACCCGTTTTCTAGAATGGACCAGTTTAGGGCATTAAGGAGTTAAAAGCATGGGGAAAACCAGGTGTTACGAAATGATCATAAGGAGGTCACAACATTAAAATCCAAAGTGAAGAACGCGTATCTGGACTGTGGTCAGGATGTGAGACGTATGTGGTCATGACGTGAGGAAGGTTGCAGCCCAAGCCCATGATCTTTTAGGGTTTCCTTCATAAATCCTATTAACTCGATTTTAGGGTTCATTATCAATCTCTGTCACCCTCAAACCTTAGACAACCCTAAACCTAACATCTCTTGGTGATTTTGGCTCATCTGTGGTGGTTTTGTTACTCTTTGAAGGAAGTAGAAGGAGAATTGGGGCAATGATCAAGCAAGCAACATCTTCTCATCTTTGATATCTCACTCTGGACAATTTGTAAGGATTCAAGCATTTACCTTTATGGTTTATTCTCTTAGATCTGAGTTGTTTTGGTTCCTTTTGGTGGTGGTTTTGATTTGAGTAAATGGATGGAATAAAATTGGCAACTTTATGGTCCCCTTTAGTCCCTAGAGCATCATATCTTATGGATCTATGGATTTGCTGTGAATTGTGAGCCTTATGAGTTTTGAGTCATTTTCTTTGCTTTTGACCTAAATTGTGTAAAGGACATGCATGGAGCATGCTTGTCTATAAAGTTGTCATTTTTTATGAACCTATGAAGTCCCTTAAAAGCTTTCTGGAAAGTGGAAGTTGAAGACTTAATGGATTAAGGACTCAAATAATTAAGTTGTTGTCTCAGACTGTGGTCACGACGTGACATTGAGGATGTCACGACGTGACGATTGAAGTTTCTCTGGTTATCTTGTCATGTTGTGTTCACGACGTGACCAAGGAGGGTTCACATTGTACTGCTTGTTGAGTGGGTTGTTCGTGACTGGGTTGGATGAGGTGGTGAGAGATGAGTTGGAATCGGGATGAGTGTGTTCTCATGATGTGACCAAGGGCTGGTCACGACATGAGGTTCAATGGTTGATATTGTTGGCTACTGACTTTCACTTTGAATGTTGACTTGTTTACTTGGGTTGACTTTTGGTCAAGATTGTTGGATTCAGTGTGTAGACTAAGGTTGGACCTTGTATGTCTTGATAGGAGTGTTGTAGCATCTGTTGCAGGGCATTGAGCTATGGCTTAGCTGATTTTGTGAGTCATGTGAGCCTTCTTACTATACTATGTGGTATGGGCCCATTAGTATGCATGTTGGGTAGGGCCCATTTGCATGTTGGGTTGGGCCCATTGGTATGCATGTTAGGATGGGTCCATTTGCATGTTGGGATGGGCCCATGTATAGGTTGGGTTTGGCCCATTTGTATATCTGGCTAGGCCCGTTGTATGGTAAGTGGTATTTTGGGGAACTCACTAAGCTTTGTGTTTATGCTTTTTTGTTTAAAAATTGTCAGGTACTTCTAGTTTCAAAGGGAAGGGTCCGGCTTGACTGCACTGCATCCCTTGAAGGCTTTTCTGCACTGGTTACTTTTGATTTACTCCGATGTTTGAGAAATGAATTCCTACTGTGTTGGTTTTGGAATATATGAATGTATGACTTTATGGTTTAAAAATTAAAATTTTTGCTACTATTTTTGGGACGTTGCAATTTGGTATCAGAGCTAGGTCAAGAGTCGATGTGTTCGACAAGGACGTCGAACCCTATGATGGGGGTGAAGGTGGGTTGCACTTGATCCCACATCGGCTGAGAAGGAGAACTAAACATTCCTTATAAGGAGTGTGGATATCTTCCCTCTCACAACGCGTTTTAAAGTCGTTAGGGCAACGGATCTCATAAGAACTCTGCAGTTAAGAGTGCTCATATGAGAGCAATTCAGGGATGGGTAACCATGGCAAGTGTAACGTTCAAAAATCACAACAAATTTAAACTTTTCAAAAACAACTCATTTACTCAAAAATTGTTTACATAACCATTGTTCCCAAAACATTATTTAAAATCAGAGTCTCCCAAGATCCAACAACATAAATGTGACAACTAGAAAAAATTTACGGTCGAGATTGTATCCATATACAAATGATTTCTCTATTGTAACCTTGTTGCAAATGATTCTTGTAATTCAAATGACAATGTTATATGAGTACATATATGCATACACTAAGGATCGAAAACTTCGGTAGACTTAAGTACATCAGACTCCATTGTTGACGATCCATGTCTAGAGTACTGTTTCTTACAATATGGAATTCTCTTATGATTAATCATAATAATTAAACAGCATTCAATCAATAAAATTAAATAAAAGTAGCGAGAAAAAAAAAATATGGTGTTAAAAACATAAACGACTTATATGGGCTAGGGGCCGACGTGTTAAAAGATTTATATGGGCTAAATCATATTTGAAGTAAATGAAGCGGCTCCCCTTGTAAGTTATTAACATGTTACTAATGTTTCTTTCATATGCTTTTAAAATTGGATTGTTTTCAACAAAGAAAAGAGAATATTTTTAGTATCTTTCTGTTTTTCTTTCCAAAGATTTAATTTTGTTGCATGCATGGTTCTAAAAGGTGTGCCATGGCGCGAGGCGTGGTTTAATCGTTACGAAAATGTTTAAAGCGGGTTTGTTAAGTGTGACGCTCAAATGATGTGTTAAGGCACGTCTTATCGTGTTATGACGCGAGTTTTTTTTATGTTCGAGCCTAAAATAATTGAGTTTTTATTAACTTTTTTATATTAAATACTAGGTTATAACCCGTGGAAACCACGGTTAACAAATTAAACGAATATTGATAGTTCAAATCATAATCACTAATTAATTATTTTAAACAATCATTAGTTTACATATTTATATGATTTGTGTGTAACTTATAATGGTTGATTCAATTTAATATGTAAAATGTTTTGAAGATATGGACAAGTTCTTTATGTGTAAATTAATGAAAAGAATAAGGATATTTTATAATCAAATATAAAATTGAATAGACTAAAAAAAATAATAACCACAATCAATCACCAAATGCAACTGTTATATGAAAAAATAAAATTTAGGGTTTTAATAGTCGAGTCATGATTATTTAATATTTAGCTTAAATTAACAAAAAAAAAAGTTTTTATTTTTATTTTAACAGATTTTTGTGTAAAATAAATAATCGGTACTTTTTTGTTAAAAAAAAATTAGAACTTTATTAAAAAATTTCCTAAAATGACAACTTTTGTATAAAACCCTTAAAATTTAAGTTGTTGAAAGAAACATATGTGAAAACATATAATTAATTGCGAATAAATCTTTATGCACACTTAAAAATATTATTAACTTAGCAAATAAAAATAAAAAAAACTTATTTCCGAAATACCCCACCGACCCACTTATCATTGCAACACCCGGATTGCGCCCAATTTGCATACATTGATTCAACGCTCAAACTTTGGTAATCCACAAGCTAAATTACCATTTTATCATCATTTTATAAAATAATATTGGTGGTTCCTAATTTGGTAAAAGGCCTGTTGTTTGATGGCCATAAAACGAATTGTATGTCACATCACATTTGTTTGGAACTGCAAATTTAATCTAGTCCTAAAACTATTTAATTCATTGGAAATGGCATGTTGCATCTCTATTTGATTCATTGGACATTTATTTCCATATCTTTCATCTAAAAAATAGCTCACTTAGCTAAAATTTTAAAGATATTAAAAAACCAATAAGATAAGAACTCATCACTTCCTATTTTACCTCTATTTATAACCAGCCATTTTAGCCATTTTATCCTGTTTATAACAACCTATTTAAAAATAATTGATAAAAATTCTTTTGGCATCTTTCTTTTTTACTTTTAGGTGTGCATAACCATGGAAAAGTGGGATGCTACATATAATAAACAAATCAAGAAAACCAAATTACTCAACTACATATAATAAGCATATAATAAGCAATAGAGAAATGTAAAGTTTGGTTTTTGTTTGAACAAATGAAGTAGATGGTTTAATTTAAAGGGAAAAAAATAAAAATAAAAAAATTAAATCTATACATTTTTGACCTTTCAACGGTCCCTTTTTCCATTAGCCAATCAAAACACGCGACCAAAAACGGGAGAGGTGTGGCCTAACCGCACACAAGACTGCATAAGGGGGCGGTGTTCCCCTACCTATGTGACAAAAGGTGCGGTAAAAACCGCACCACTCCCTTGAGTCTAAGCTCTTCAAAAGTAGGAGTGACAATTCTCAAACCAATCCAAAACTCAACCCGTCAACCCGTCTATTTCATAGGTCGTGTTCAGGTTATGTGTTTAGGTTTGCGGGTCAACCCGCCAAATATATAGGATTTTTAAAAAATATATTTAATATTTAATGATTAATTGATTGCTTGGAGCATGCCCTAGAACTAGAAGGCTAATTAGCTTCAAAAAGCGAAGCTATCATGCGCTTATGTTGGCAAGTTAGGCCGGAGGGAGTGGTGCCACAGGAGCTGCACTCCCTCCTTTGACACATAGGAGTCACATCATTTTTACCACACAAAGTGTGGTTCTTTACCACACCCAGGGAGTGGAAACCATGGTAGAGAAAGAGAGAGGTGAGAGAAAGGAGAAGGAGAGAAAGACACATAAATAAAGAGAGAGAAGAAAGAGGGTGCGGCCATTTATAGCCACACTGATGCCAAAACCGCAGGAAACCGCACCCAGGGGGTGGTGTTTGCGGTCCAGGTAGCAAGGGTGCGGCTTGGAACCGTAGTCCACTCCTCCAAGCCTTAGAAGGGAATTCAGCATCATTTAATGATTTGTCTCCAACAAGGGAGTTGCAATTAATGCGCATTTGCGGGCGAATCAAGTGCAGCCCAAAAGTATAATGCAACAATTTGGTAGAATTTTTAAAGCACAAAGCCTTAATAACAAAAAATAAATAAATAAATAAAAATAACAAATACAGTGATATAAAAGAAAAAATAAATATGATAAACAAAAAGAAGAAAGTACATTCCCCAACCCAAAGCATGCAACATGAGATACGAAGTGCAAACAAACCAGATGTTTTTATTAATTTGGGTACTAACTATAACAAACCGGCTCTAACCTAATCATTTATGAAATCCAAAGAGTCCACATTTCCAAATAAAACCGAGTATCAGATAGTTTAGGAACTTGTTAAAGAATCCTCATTCTGTTTATTGATACCATCATTCATTCATTCATCCTTGGATGTGGATGTTGTTAAGTCACTCCTACTTTTACCTTTCTTCATTTTTGCTTTAAACCGAGATTTCAGTACAAGAGTCTGAACTGTATTTGCAAAATTCCCAATAGCCATAATTATCAGCAGAATCCCACACGTAACAACCTGCCCCCCCCAAAAAAAAAATCTCTCAGGTTTCTACAAAAAGGTTATTCTTTCATCAACCCCTGAGCTGAGCTGAGCTGAGCTGGCCCACACTCACACTGTACTGCTTAAAAGCATCATGTGAAATGTAAATCAGGTATTCTTACCTGCCATTCAGAAATGACACCTACGACTGCTGTTTTTAGCAATAGCACACCTACATATGCTTCAAAAGCCTGTAATCTCAAATAATAATAATTAAATTTCCACATTATTAAAATAGAATTAATTAGGAAATAAAGAATAAATCACCTGCAAGACAAAGAGTATGGGCAATAATATCCATAATTGACCTTTTACTCCAGCAGTTTCCCCCCACACAACATCCATTCTTCTAGCCTACAATCACAACAAATACTTAGATTAATTTTTATTTACAAAAAAAATTATATATATTCTCAAAATTTGATTTTAATAACAAGACCTTCCCAAGTGCAATGCGTGTATAGAGTCTTTGTCTTTGGTATCTGTTTTGTAGAAGCATTGCTACTCCTTGCATGATTGCCCATCTCAGAAACAATTGTATACCCTTCTGTAAAACATGTTGAATACACAAATGACGATTTTGTCCTCGAACCTAAAATGTATAAACAATATTTTAACCTGCTTTTGGGCACAATCAGGTTGCCTTTCTATCTCCCATGTGAGGCTGATGAGTGCCATGGCCATAGCAAAATAGTGATGATATATCCACCTACACATCATATCATTTATATATTCATAATGCATTGAAAAACTTCATTAGATTATATAAATTCAAACCACACGATAGAACGTTACCATGGACGTATATCGCTTCCATTAACTCTCAAAATATTTTCTCTTAAAGCTAATCCTGTGTATAGAAACAGCAACCATGCCTGAAAAGGGGATAATCATTATGTTTTAGAAAAACAATTTTATTAACTAATATGCTTTAAGGCTGTGTTTGTTAGTTGTTACATGGAATTGACAGGAAAAAAGCTTTCTAGGGCTATTTTTAATGATGAGGGCATTCACGTCTTTTCCACAGACAAACGAAAATATAGAATTATGTATGAAGAGATAAAAGTATACCTGGTAAATCTGGACAGGTAAAGCAGGGAAACATCCATCCCAAAGACATGACCTTAACACCAGTAGCAATGAAGGGAAAAAGAGAAACAGATATGCAGTTCTATCCTGCCCATAATTCAATGGAAAATCATATAAGTGTACAGATTAAAGTCATTAAACCAAACAAGAAAAAGGGTGATGCTTATGAAAGATAGCTACAATATCTAATTAGGGGAAGAGGATTTGTGAGAATTTCTTACTCTGAAACTATAGTATTCTTCTTTCACTTTCAATTGAACATCTTGTCTGTTAGCACGAACATTTATTGGACCAAGAAGCATCCTCAAAAATCTTCCTGTAACCCAATCAACAAACTGAGGTTGGAGGAAAAACTTATTACACACAAAAGGCCAGAAGCAAAATAGCTCAGCTTGTTTTAACTAATAAAAGCAACGCACCATGTGATTTGCAGGGAAGAAATGTAGCTGCGTCTCCTTCACCCAATGTAAAACTTGCTCTACTCAGCTCTTCAGCTAACTATAAATACCCAATTGAAAAAATCAGAACATAAAACACATAAACGAAACAGATACCATCAAGCCGTCGGTTTTTATGATTATATGATCATGGAAGAAGCGCTGTTTATACAATGATAACTTGAATTTTCAACATTGATACATATCTATTATTTGCTACCCTAAATTGATACAAATAAAATGCGCATGTAAATTGAAATCTGAGTGGGCTTACTTTTTCTGCATGTTTGGAATCTAAATTGCCTTTCTTGACGGAGGAACCAATGAACGTTCTTAACATTTTGATATTTGAATCGAGAGCTAGGGCTCGTTGGCGTAGCGATGATTCCTCCTGTGAATTTCTAGAAATTAAGGTCGACGCTGATTCCTGCAACTCTTTACTTTGTTCCACAAGCCTAGAAACTTCTTCAGCGACGTTTCTATCCGACAAGCTATTATCACCGCCATCCCTGGCAGTAGAGTCGCCCATCTCGAACAGATCGATTGATTGATAATTCACCCAATTTCTACTTAACCATTTGCGCGAGTGAGTGTATAATTAATATGTAGGTTTGTGTGTATTTTCTTGTAAGTAACCAGATAAATAAGAGGGAAATAACGATAAAGGAGATGAAGTGGGGGAAACAAACATGCGGCCGGTTTCCGGCGAGGAAACGGCGTTTCGTGGCGGCGAATATAGATACCGACGGTGGAATTGGCCCTCTTCCCGGTTGTGATTGTAGTGGTATATAGCAAACTTGCACCCACGTGCACCTCAGCTTGCTTTTAAACGATTCCTACACGCATATCTCTTTTAAGTTTTAATAAAACAATTGCTTACAAGGGCCATGATTTAACTCTTTAAGTAGAGAAAAGCAAATTAATTCATAAAGATACTAAATTAAATATTCTTATTAAATGTTCGCTAAGTTTTCCATAAACCATAATGGTAAAATACATTAAATAATATGCAATTTTATCACATATTGATGTTATAAATGAGTAATAGACTATTTTGTAAGGTGATGGGGGGTTTGCACAATCTGATGGTCAATGATGATTGGTAATTTTTAATAAAATAGTTTTCGATGTCATTCAAAGTCCGTTGCTATTCTATGGTGGGTTGGAATTATGTATTTGGAGTTCCATTTTCCCAAAGGTCAAAGTTTGTTTTCATTCGTTGTCTTGTTGTAAAACTTGTTTTGCATTGGTGCCTGCCTACATGTTGGACTTTCTTAATTTTTCTAGCTTGTATTATGTCATGTTTTATTTTCTTTTGTTGCTTGTAATTTTATGATTTTTTGTTTGTTTTATTTTCTAAATTTTGCTCAACCGTGTAAAAAAATTGTTTTTGTTTTGTCATAAAATACAATTTCTTAAAAAATGGTATGATAAGCAACTAAAATTTTTTGTTCAAAAGATAGTATTAGTTAAATGGTATTTTATAAGCAAATAGAAATAATTCATTACTCATTTATTATTACAATTAAAGAACAATGATGTTATATATATATATATATATATATATATATATATATATATATATATATATATATATATATATATAGGGTTAGGTTATTTTGTTTCAAGTAACTATTGTGTGCCAGAATGCACAGATCTGGACCATCGGATGTAATATAATCAAAGGTCATGATCTGAGGGTCTATGATAGTAGAATAGGATAACATATACCATATAATCACACAAATTTCAGCATAAGGGCATTTTAGTCAATTAACCTATATTAAAAAAGGAAATTTTCGGATTTTTAGGGATAATTAATTCCTTTATTTTAAAAAATCTGAATATTTTAAATTAATTCAAAATTAAAAATCCGATTTTATTCTGTCAGAATGATAGAATGTTAACCATAAACTAGTAAATATATTTTTCGATTTTATTCTGTCAGAATGACAGAATGCCAACCATAAACTAGTAAATACATTCTGAAAAGAATATACAAAATCAATTCTTGAACTAATAATATACCAAATAATTACATTGTATGATTGTGATTCATTGAATAATAATAACATTCTGAAAGAAAAAAAAACATCAAATTTTAACAAAAACACTAATCTATTCTGAGAGAATATTATTTTTTAGCAATACTTTATACATTGTAGCATAACACATTCTGGTATAATACACTCTCGTTCTCTATGTTTTCTTCCTTCTCCACATCAATGTTAGCCTCTTCAAAACCTAAATCCACAAAGAAAACATAATCAAGTTTCAAAAATTAAAAAATTCAATGTATTTTAAGAGAATAAAAACTATAAATTCTGACAGAATGTATTAAAGACTATAAAGTTTGACAGAATATAGTAGAAAATAAAAATTATAAATTCTGACAGAATGTAGTAGAGACTATAAAGTCAACCATAAAGTATCACAAATTCATTACCAGTTACACAAATATACTTGTTGTTGACAGTTATTCTCAAACATTCTAACAGAATACATTTATATAAAATAAATTCTAATAGAATACATTACATAATTCAAGAGCTATGATTGAATACAGAATTCAAGAGCTGTGATTGAATCATCAACACACATCTGCATTCATTCCCAGTCATGAATTCAAGAAACAAACACACATTTACATTATCGATTTAGAAATATGAACACCAATTTTGACTTTTTCGAAACAAAATCCAACTTATGACTGTGAAGTGCAAGTTGTATCAGAATATTTCTTCAATTGCATAGAAATAAACCATTGAAGAAATCAAATTTAATAAGATGATGAACACAATCTCGATCTTGAATCAAAATCGAGATAAAATCAATCTCGATTGAGGTAAATAATTTCCAGTTATATCCCCTAATTGTTAGATTACCGGACCAGGGAAAGAAGAACAGGAGGCTGCCGGATCATACCTCTGTCCAAGTACCTGCAATCGTCGGATTTCCTCACCGTTCGCTCCTTGCTTCTCATTCGCTTTCATGGACCCCACAGCAGCGCCACTGCTCCTCCGCATCCCCTTCTTCAGCCTCATCGACCCCAGAGTCCATCATCGATTGCGAGACGAGAGTATGTGCTCCCTTTTGGATTCGTCGATTGTAGAAGAAGAAGCACAATCGGTGATGGTGATGGTGTTGATGTCGATGATGAAGTGTTCGGCCACAAACATAACTAGGTCAAATATATTTAGTTTATTTCCTTAATTGAATGATTAGTTTATTTCCTTAATTGAATGATTTTAATTAAATGATTTCCTTAATTAAAAGTACAAAAGGTCCAAAATACCCTTTAATGATTTATTTAATTATTTATTATTTTTTGAATTCTCATTGATGCATTTAGGCACACAATAGTTGCTAAAAACATTTGAACCTAACTATATATATATATATATATATATATATATATATATCATTAGTAACATTAACCCTTTTTGTTCGTACATTACTATATTATATCATCGAATAAAAAGCATGTGGTCCAATGGTAATGTTGAAAGTTTAAGTCTCCCATTGGATGAAATGAGTAAATTTATGATTATGGTATTAAGTGTGTGAGTTAGCACTTTTAAACTAATATTTTGATACCAATTTAGGGTTCAAGTCTCACTTGTATTTTGATATGTGATCATATTAGACTTTGAGGAGGAAGATAGGAAAAAAGAAACGAAATACCACGACTTGTAGTGGTTTTTCTTAAATTTTGTTTTGTTACTAATGTTACTTCCTCACGTGTGATTTAAAATTTGTGTTTATTTTAATTTTTGGAACCAAACTATTCCGCAAACTTTAAAGGGATAATATTAGTGTAGTCCAATAAACTCTTCGTTTTTTGTTTAAAAGGTTCCTAATGTTATTTTTTGGCACTGTAGAGACATAAAGTCCTTATTAACCTATTTTAAAAATGTGTTAATCTTTTTCTTATCCAATCTCACAGCTAAAAACGATGACGTTTATATGACAGCATTGTGCTTTGGGGCTGTAAAGTCAAGCCTCAAAAAAGACCATAAATACAGTACTAATCTGTACGAAGGATCTGACTAAGGTGTAACGTCCCAAAAATTATAAGGTACAAAAATTTCATTTTTAATTCAAACAGAAACATCAATTATCCTTTTCAATCATTCAAAAGTATATCAGAATAAAAACAGTTATCATAATACAATCCCAAAAATCATATAGTTGCAGAAACAAGGGAGGGTGTTGGAGAGGTGGAGGCTGAGAATTGAATGGGTTTGGGGAAGTTAAGGAGCTTAAATAGGGCTCAAACCACGGAAATAGAGTTTGGGAACTAATCGCGTACGACCATTGTACTCCTGGTATGCCCAAAAAAACAGGGATGCCCTAGTACGCCCAGCATACTCCCACGTACGCGCAACGTACGCGGCTTAACCCAAAACCGTCCTAACTTCAAACGGTCATAACTTCTTCGTTTCAACTCTGATTTCGACGCTCCTTATATGCACGGAAAGGTAATGAGAAGCTCTACAATCCTATCAACTCACCTTTGCCTTAAAACTTTCCAAACTTAATTCCAGAATTCATAAAAGGCCCGAACTATCACTTTACGGTTATACCCTTGAGCTACAAAGCACCTACCGAACTCTCGTATCACCTAATCTACATTACTCACATCCAAAGGGATCTAAATCTCTCATTCCCCCAAGGCCCGAAGCCTTATGATAACTGATCTTCGGGTCACGACCCTGAATTATGTAACGATTCAGAACAGGGTGTTACATAAGGTTGCATCGATGTTGCTTTGCTTTTCCATTCTTGTGCCTTACCCAACACAAGGTCATGTAAACCCTTTTACTAATCTCGTGAATCTTCTCTACTTTAATGGCTTTTGCATCACCTCCATCAACACTGAATTCAAATTTAACTGTCTCATCCACTCCAAAGCCCCGGAGTCCGTCGAAGTTTTACCGAATTTTCGGCTCGAGACCATCCCAGCAGCATGCACCACTCATATCGAGACACCACTCACGAATATATTGATGCTTTGTGACATGACCATAAAAAGTTGGTTGGTTCCGTTCAAGGAGTTGTTATAAAAGTTAAACTTGTCAGCGAGAGTCTTGCCGATCAGTTGTGTCATTGTAGATGGTGTGATGAGCTTTGTGATGCTACGAATTTTGGGATTCCAGAGGTTCATTTCAAGACTACTTCGACGTGTGCCTTCATGGATTGTGTGCATTGTCCCTTGGATACCTTCTCACAAACTTTCCTATATAATTGTGATTTAATATTTTAGCATTTTTTTTGTTCACTTTGAATTACTGAATCACTATGGATGCGGCATCCACTTCCGTTATTACAATTCATTTTGTAATATTAATGGGATGGCAGTGGGGGTGGTGGTGGCAGTGGTGGTGGTGGTGGTGACGACGATAGCGGTGACGGCGGTGGCAAGATAGTGTTGGTGATGGCAGTGGTAGTGGTGTTGATAACGAAGGTGGTGGGGGTGATGATGGCAGTGATAGGGTAGTGGTGCATCGGTGATTATGGTAGTGGTGGTGGGTGGGTGAGTAGGTGTGTGTAGGGGTGGGGTGTTGGGAATTGGGAGTGGGTTGGTAGGGGTGGAAGTGGGGTAAGAGGGGTGGCATGAGAGTGGATGTGTGTTTATATTTTAGAAAAATTTTGGAATTAGAAAAATATGGAAAAATAGTAATTATCAGTTTTCTAAAATTTTATATGTTCTTTGTAAATCTGAGAAAACAGAGAATTTTTCATTTTCTGTGAAAATTTTAAAAATTGTTGAACTAAACGTATTTTCAATATTCTTATTTTTCATAGAAAATTTTCGTAAAACAACTCATTTTTCCGTAACTAAACGCACCATCATAGTTTCTAAACTTTAATTTTCAAATTCATATATATATATATATATATATATATATATATATATATATATATATATATATATATATATATATAATAGAGACATTTTTGTTCAAATCATATTCATTTGAACCCCTTCTTTTAACTAATATCGCTCAAAAATCTTTTTAATAATTATTTAACCACTCAAAAGTTTTATAACTTATATATTCTGTTTAATAAACACTTAATGGAAAGTTTACTATAAAAAGACCAATTTTTTAAATAGACACACATACAAAATTCAAAAAGAAAACAAGTTTAAAAGTTTTATTGTTGGTTTGAGCTCTTTTGATCACTTTTTCGAAGCATGTTATTATGTTAGAGTTTGTAATTTGTAAGCTTGTTATATAATAATTCTTTTTTTCTTGGTTTTAGTATTATTTTAATACAGATGTTGTATGTTGTCATTGAACTGTTAATGTAAATTAGATTATAAACATGTTATAAGGTAATGTGTATAATATCTAATTAAATATGTTATATATGATTGTTTGTTTATGTTGTTGCTTCAAATAAATAATTAATTAAAAATCATTAATATGTCATATGTTCAATGTAAGTCTTTTTTAAGATAAAATCGTCTATCTTATCACGTTATACTAATATGATGATTGTTTGTTTTATGTTGTTGCTTCAAATAATTAATTAAAAATCATTGTTTTTTTTGAGATAAAATTGTCTATATCTTATCACTTTATACTAATCTTGTGCAACACATATATACGCATAGTATATATTTAATTGATAACCGGTTTGGTTGGTTAAAAAATGGTTGGAATTCTCGTAAGATGATTTGATTTATTTATTATGTGTGCTAATTTATTTCAATTGGTTTTAACTTTATTTTTCTATTTTTCTATTAATAAAAAATTAATAATAATATTATTACTATTATCATCAACATCAACAAGATACATATCATTTTGAGTTTCTGATAATTAGTTGATATTTTACAACGTTAAGATTTATATAAACCAACAAACTGCCCTACAAAGTTATGTAAAATAACGAAATAGATGTTTTGAAAATAATAGTATATAGGCAAGCCAAATTGGAATAAATTCAAATATTCCTGGTTTATTCCGAACTTTGCCGGCTCTTGACTTTGATACTTTGATTCCATACTTATGCACCTTAAGTTCAGCCCAAAAAGGCATTCTTAAACTTATTTACAACATAAATTACAAATAACTCAATAATACATCACAAAATATTCATAAATTCTAAAGAGAGTGTACTTATTTTTCCACTTCATTGCAACAAACACTCCTCTATCACACCACCCCACACCAAACCAAAAGAATGTAAAAATTTCAACCATCTTTCCTAACCTTTTCCATCATAATAACAAAATCACTCCCACAACCGATGAAGTGACATTCAGTACCACAACTTAATAGCTGATTCTAGTATATAATTCGACCGATTTAAGTTACTTTGTTGTTTGCTTTTCAAGCTTTATTTTTGCATCTTCCACTTTAGCGGTTGACCCGTATGATAACCTTCGATTTCTTGATGCTTTCTTACCATTAGGTGAATTTGACTTTTTCATTGATGGCGATTTCTTGCTTGGTGGGCTATTGACTTTCTTTGGAGTGGACCCCACTAGAGCTCGAGTTTCCCATGGCCGAGCAGCAATCCATCTCTCCATCCAACTCCAACCCCAATTAGATGCCGCCACATCAGATTCATTTATGCCTAAATTTGAATTCGAATTTGCCCTCCACTACAAATAAATGGAAAGTTAGCAATGTGCTTTTCAAAGTTTCTAATTATAGCATTTTACTTTCATATTATAGGTAAGTGGCTCCCTTTTGTATAGATCATCCCATTATTTATTTTGCTGACGTGGCATAATTAAGATGACGTGGATTTGATTTGAGTTTACCTGATGAGAAAAGGCGTATGCCATTGCTCGCTCACGCTTTACGGATGCTTCTTCTCTTTGTTTCATCCGTGCAAGAACCTCACCCATCGTATGAGAGCTCCCACTCCACTCCATCTGCAAAGTAAAATCAATTAGATTTTCATAGTGCAAAAAAGATTGAATCTTTTCATGGTAAATTATTGAATAAATGGCAAGATTTGGCTTCTTTAATCAAATAAACTTTTTTTTTTCGAGTTAAAATTTGCATTATCCCTAGATCACATACCTTAGCATCAAGCCTCAATTGATTCTCAAGCTTCTTCTGTTTGATCCCGCTGTCTTCCACCATAGCCAGTCTGCGAGTTCTTATCTGAGCTTGTATCTTGCTCCATGTTTGAAGATTTCTTAAAGTATTCGAGGTTTGCTTTTTACCAAAATCGCCTTCCATAAGCATCTGCAACTTTACTAATCGTTTCAAATTGCAGTAATACTTTCTCGCCTGAAAATATCACAACAAAAAAGCCAAACATCAGCTGAAAAAAGATTCAAGATCATCAACAAATTGTGAAACTGATTACACTTGTACAAGATTACGTTCATATAACGAAATTCTTTTTGACTCTTGACATTAATTGACCAACTTTCGAATTATGACTTTGGTTCACAAGATTTCCGCTAAAGGGCATTTTAGACTTTTACTAATCGCCAAATGTAAAAATACCTTAAACCCCCTGAACGCAGTTTGGATCCGTATTGCTGCTATATCCTCAGCAGGCAGATTAACAGACACACGGCGTCCTTTAGCAACACCATTAGCAATATTTTTTTGTTCCTCTGTAGATCGAGATTTCAAAATAAAACCATTTGTTTCTGGTAATGAATTGTCCTGTAAAAATTGCAGTGTTAGAAAAGATATTCACAAGTAAAGAAGGTTAAAACTGTAAATTCCATATAACATGGTTAGATTACGCTAAAAATTGGCGTATAAAATAATTTTACAAATTGCATACCTTTGTCTTGTTATTTTTTTGTTTCCTGGCTTTATTTGAGCTGATTATATTCTTCAACCAATCACTTGATCCCATGGTTGATGCTCCGCTTTTTTCAAAATCTTTGACGAATACTAATATACAAAATCATAACAGTGTGCAATAAAATTAGCATCTTATTTTAAAATTTACTCAAGTCAAAGCATCATCAGTTCAAGTAAACGAAATCATAACAAGTCAAAACACAAATCCCGAAATCATAATAAAAAGGGGAACTTTATTGCAGCAAATACTCTTGACTTGCAAAGTCATATAAAAAAGACTGTCAGAAAAATAAAACCCAATAATTGAGATATCAATGTAGAGAAAATCTTGGATAAATATCTGAATACCCACAAACAAAAACCAGAAAATGTTTATGTGCAACAAATTAAATTAACAAACACTAGTCGAATTACTTGAAAAGTCAACGCATCATACATTCAATAGAAGAAATCGAACAACTTTTACTAAAAGAAATTGAGAAGGCGTTCATGAGAGCGACATACCAGAGCAAAAAAAAAGCTTCAAATTTGGATTCTGAATCAAGAAGTTCTTGTAAGAATATAAAGGAAGTGAGTGAGTGGTGATATTGCGTTTGTGAAAGGGTAGTAATACAAATAGGAAGAATAATGAAGAAGGAAAGCAGAAAAAGAACAAAAAGGTGGGTGTGTAGAAACTGTGGATATCTTTGACATGGCCCACAACTGTTCATCTTCTTCAAAGCTGTTAAATTTTATGAAAAAGACAACTCCTTTTGTCTCATTAAAAATGGAAGATTTCCATTTTAAGATATTTTTATAAATTTTCTCAAGATTTTGATTTAAATAAAAGGTTTGTTTGTAGTACTAACATGAAACACAATGTCCTATTTCAAGCCCGTGTGCTAATGTTATAATGATTGTGTCTATTTTAAAGTTTTTCGTATATTTTGCAACATAAAATATTTAAATTTAATTGCATGAAAAAGTTATTGTTACTTTGATATCACATTACATAATTTTGATTTTGTTATTTTTAGGTCACAAGTTTCTCCTCCATATGTACGACTCCCTTATTTTAACATATTTTGTTAATATTCATATATTTTGTTAGTATATGTGTTAAAATGAATTCACTTATTATTTATTATATTTATATCACCGGCAAGACTTCTTGATATTATCTATATTACATAAACTAATTTTAATAATTTTCTTTGGACTTAAAAGAGTATCATATCAAAGAATTAAGTAAAAAAAGAATTAGAGAGGTTACACCAACAGGAAAACAAATAATTGACAATCATTGTGATGGCTTATATTTTTCAATTGGCCGGGGTTTGTAATCAAAATCACTGTGCAAAGAATCTTGATTATTATTGTGTGTGTTTGGTGATAGATACTTTTGATTAAAAATTCGTTTTTATTATAAAAGAAATATATCTTTTTGGAGAAAGGAAGCATTTCAAAATAATTTAAGTATTTGTTACCAATCATTAGAGATTCGTAGAAAATGGATTATCTTCTGCAAATTCATATGATTTATGTTATTAATATGTATTTAGACAATTTTTAATTATTGATGAACTTTGATAACCGGATCATAAAGAATTAAAGATGACATATTAAGGTTGTGTTTGATAAATGATAACCGAAGAAAATTTTGGACTTAATGGGAGAAAAAATTGTTTTCGTCTTCTTTGTCATCTGTTATCTTACCACATGTCATACAACCGTTAGTTGGCTTATACTTTTTTTCATAATATGTCCTTTTAGAAATCAGTTCTTAGTTTTATTTAAAAATAAATTAAAGACATTAAAATTCGTTTTTATTTCTCTTTAAATAAAGATCAAGACCGATATAGTTTCATACACAATCCTAAAAATTGTAAGTTTATATTTTGTTTCTCTATTTTAAAATGAATCTTATAAGTTGTTTTGTGATGGAATATTTTTGTATCTATCTTAACTAAATAAAAATCAACTATAAATAATATTATTTGTAAAATATTGGGTTAGATCAGATTGAATTGAGAGTTACTTATAATTAATCATCAAAAATGTTGGATTGTATGAGAAATAAAAAATTGATTTTAACAAAAAAAATTGCATGAATCGCTAACAATTATAATTAACTTAAGTATTAATAATTGTTAAGAAGTTGTCTCCTATTCGAATATTACAGACTTCAATTTTAAGATAATTTCGTGTCCTGAACAAATAAAAGATAAAATGAAATGTAACAAAAATATTTAATATGTATGATGCAGTAACTAATATATTACATTATAAAGAAAATGATTAGTAGATAGATAGATAGGAACAGGAAAGAAAATGATTAGTAGATAGATAGATAGGAACAGGATAGAAATTAGGAAGGGGATAGAGAGAATTAATAATGGTTGTGGTTGGTGGGTTGTATAAAAGCATCTTTCTGGTATGTGTTTATCAATGATTGTAAAGGGTTGTTTATTAAAAATATATATATAATTTAGTTTATATATGTTTTAAATTTTTAATATGGACATGCTTTTTTTTAATAAATCATATATAAAAAAAAAAAACTATATAAGCATCCATCATAGTTAAGAAAAGGTAAATATTTTTTTTTCTTTCTTTTTTAGAGCGGCTGAAAAGGTAAATAGTTGACACACATGTTTTGTTAGGTGTAGCTGAAAAAGTAGAAGATGATAAATAAGTTCAGTTTTTCTTTACCATGTCTTTTCCTGGAGCTTTGATTACTTATTAATAACTCCATAAAGTGTTAATGCAAAATTGCAAATCATGGTGAACATAAAACGTCTACGTATAGAAGATGTTTATGGTGATTTAAATGGTTTATGCGTATGTTTGGAATGTTATTTTGTTTGCTACAACCAAGCCTAGAAGGATAGAACTGGCAAATATTATTTGATAAAAAGAAATCTCTCAATCTTATTTTTGGTTTTCTAGTAGATATCATAATTGAAAAAAATACATTTGAGTGGTTTAGTTAAGGAACCAACTTTGATTTTATGACTTGCAATTTTATTTTATTTTTACAACTTGCTAGTTTGTTTTACAAAAGTTGTTCAAAAAAAGAGGCTTGGAGAATGACTTTTTTGTATAAAATGGAAATGAAATCTTGTTTATTTTTTTATTTTTGTAGATTTTTAAGTATCTCGATTGGTAGTGTAACAAAGGAAGGCTATTTCCAGGTTTTATAAATAGAAGTGAGCACCATTTCTCTTTAAGCTACCAAGGCACAATTTCAAAGTGTTTTGATTGTTGATTTAGTTTCAACTTAATTGGGCGAATTAGATAATATTTTTAAACATAAAAATTTTGTAGTGTTTCTTTTATGTTATAGTGGTAGCCTGGTAGGTGCGGCCGCTCCCTTATTGTGTGTGTCTCTCTGTGTGTGAGAGAGAAACCAATGAAAAAGAAGTATAAACTATAAAGTATACACCACAAGTGTATCATAATTTGACAAAATATTTGAAGTCGATTTGGAATATAAGTTAATGCATGCCGAGTTTAAGCTTAGATAAGTGTTAAAGTTTGTGTAAGGATTTCAAATACGTAACTATGTTGTTATGTATGCCATTAGTTGTAAAAAAAATCTTGGTGTTGATTTTTGTTGACCTTTAGAAGATAATTTTTTTCGATAAACGATAATTTTTAATATATATTTTCTTAGTTATCACGGTACAATGAGTGAGAAGACAAACGGACAACAAGTTGCGCTGCTAAGTTTTTTTGTATTATAAAATCAGTTTTTTTGTATATAACATTCATAGATCTAGGGTATGCAATAGTTAAGTTTTGTGATAAAAAAGTGATAACCGTTTAAGAAGAGTAAACTAATAAAAATGTTTATTAATATAATTTTGAATTCAATTGAATATATTTAATTTGTTAATTTAAATATAATGTTAAATAAAATTCTAAATTAAAATATTAAATAAACGTTTGAAGACTAAATTTTATAATATTTAAAAACTTTAATAGGGTAAAAGTGTAAAACATAAATCAAAATGTCGAATTAACTAAAAATATTTAAAAGCTGTTTTTGATAATAATTGAAATTTTTCTACAAAAATATTTATTTATTTTTTAAAATAATAATAATAATATTTAAATAAAATGAAGACAAAACTTCAAAATGGTCTTTGTGGTTTCACAAAATCTGAAGTTTGGTCCCTAATTTACAAAAACCTTACGGATGGTCCCTGTGGTTTCAAAACTTTTAACAAACGGTCATTTTCGCTAACTCCGTTAGCTTTTGGCCGTTAAGTGAAGGGCATTTCTGTCTTTTCACAATCACAGGGACCATTTATGAAGTTTTGCCTTATTTTTTTTTTAAAAAGAAAAAAATATATAATTATTTAATATTAAAGGGTCTCACCTCTCTCTCTCTCTCTCTCTCTCTCTCTCTCTCTCTCTCTCTCTCTCTCTGTAAGTCTTCTTCCTAAAAAGAACACACCTTTTTAAAAAACTTTGAAGCAAAATTGTCAAAGAAAATGGATTCGGACTCTAATTTCATATCCAACTTTAATTTCATATCTAATTTCATATACAAACTTAAACATCTCTCTCTACCATGTTCATCTTCATCTGATCATCATCTTCATTATGGCGAAGCTGTGAAACAAGAAACAGCCAGCTTGGGGTGTGAACAAATTGATGTCATTGGGGCATTTCCACAAACAGTTGGTGTGCAACTTAAGAAAATCACCATGAAATCTTTGTTTTTACTTCTAATTGAAATCCAAATTGGAGCTGAACTTAATACACACAGATGTATAATCAAAGAAATTGAAAATATACGCATAAACCCACCTTCTCTCTCAATCCTAATCCATGAAATCCTCCTGATTCCAATAACTATTGCACCAGAACCAGTACCTAAATCCACCCACAAACCTTCATTCAATTCTTGACTCTGCTTGATCACATCTTCCATCAGATCGATTATCAACTCGGTTTCAGGCCTTGGAATCAAATCACCTTCTTCGACACTCAGAACCAAATCCCCCATAAAGAGTAAAGATCACCCAAGTAAGCTCTTAATTGCAAAACAGTGTTGTGTTTGGAGTCGTTGAGGGTTAGTAATGGTTTTGGGTTTTCTAGAGCATCTTCGATCAGCCAATTAAGTTCTCTGTGTAAACTTTCGGAGTCTGGTCCGTTATCTGAATCTATGAAAGATGAACCGACAGATGACACTAAGGTTTTCGCCTAATTCGGCCATTGTTGCAGGTCGGATAAGGTTCCGCTGAAGGTGGGTGGTCGGAGAAATAGGGGGAGGTTAGGGTTTAAGGCAGAGGGTGCATGGTAAACGGAAACTGATGAAGAAGGAAATAGAGCGATTGGGGGTTCTTGATGTGAATGTAGTTGAGAGAGAAGAGAGTTGTGCCAAAGGATGCTCTCTTTATGTGTATGAAGAGTGAGAATTGAGTGAGGTTTTGGAATTTATGATGAAGTGAAGAAGGAGGGATGAGATAAAAGGGTGTGTTCTTTTTAGGAAGAAGACGTACATGGATAGAGAGAGAGAGAGAGGTAGGACCCTTTAATATTAAATAATTATATATTTTTTTCTTTTTTTAAAAAAAATAAGGCAAAACTTCATAAATGGTCCCTGTGATTGTGAAAGGACATAAATGCCCTTCACTTAACGGCCAAAAGCTATCGTAGTTAGCGAAAAGGACCGTTTGTTAAAAGTTTTGAAACCATAGGGACCATCCGTGAGGTTTTTGTAAATTAGGGACCAAACTTCAGATTTTATGAAACCACATGGACCATTTTTGAAGTTTTGTCTAAAATAAAATTAAAAACTATATTATTTTGTTTTAGAAAAAATGATTGATATTATAAATAATTAAGTATTATAATAGTTAAATAACATTAACTCGAAATTTATATTTAATTTTATTTACATAACAGGATATGAGATGGTATTGTGATATGAGTCCATACCCGATTATAAAATTATATTCCAAATGCGGTCTGGTCCTGTCGTGTCCTTGGTTAGTAAATATTCATCGTGTCCTTGGTTAGTAAATAATTAAGTATTGTGATCTGAGTCCATACCCGATTATAAAATTTATTTTTTTTTGCGTGAAGAAGGTATTAAAAGGAAGGGGTATTTTTTGTTTTGTTGAATTAACTCAAAATGAGTGAATTCCCACTTTTTTTAAGGGACAGTGGCATGTTTGTGTATATGTATGCACAAAATTGAGAAACTTGAATTAACACCATTCTTTGGATTTCAACGTTTTCTTTTTCTTTTTTGTTTTTTATATGGAAATATATAATACAACTTCAAACATAAAAACACAAAACATCCAAATTGTCAAACTAATACATCCTCAAACATAAAGACATAAAATATAAAACATCGTCGTCGTCGTAGTCTTTATTCCTGGTCGTAGACTCATAGTCATTGTTCTTTGGATTTATTCTTCATCCGTCATGTCCAGGGACGGATCTTATTACGGGCTAGGGGGGTTGTGCCCCCCCCCCCCCGTTTCTTTTTAACAATTAGTCCATTACTATTAAAAAAATTATATATTTGGTCTAAAACTAAAAATTTTTACTGTGGCCCATTGTTCTCTAATTTTTATACATATTATATTTTCGGCCCCTCAACTCAAAAGTTCAAACTCCGTCATCATGGCGTTGCGGAATCTAACATTTTAAATAAATTTCTACCAGTGTGCGAGACCTCAAACAATTCAAACGCAATCGTACGCTTCATCATTAACAAATTATTTGGATTTATTCAATGAGCGGTAACACAAAGGAACGAATCCGGTGAACCGTGAGGTGCCGTCCAAACATCACAAGTTAAATTTACACCGGTTTCTAAAGCTTCAAATCCTAAAATCATTTCATTTTTTGCATGTTTCCACATTTCAATACAATCGCGTCTAACGGAAGTACGACTCACATGACAATATCGTGGTTGGAGAGTATCTTGTATGAATGAAGTCAATCGTTTGTTGTCGAAGTGCTCAAAAGGCAAGCATTATTGAATCACGAACTTCTCCATCCTATCTCGAACTTTAGCTGCTTTGTAATTCCACAATGTAGTATCTTTCGCCATTGTTGTTTGATTATGCCCCGACCCAAATTTTACCACGGGGCATCTCTTTGTCATATGAGTTTTCAATATCGAATTCCCATCTTCATTGAAAAAAGCACAACATTTCTTGCATCGCGCTTTTCTTGGACCGTTCGACATTACACACAAATCAAAATTGCCCCGAATAGCCGGATTTCTACTTGTTTCTTTGATGCTAACAACGGTAACATTGTTTGATGAATCTCCAACACCAACGAAAGTCGAATCCATTGCTTAACTTGAGAGTGTTTTTTTTATCTAAGAGAGGTTTTTTGAGGTTTGGTTAAGCTAAACTAGAGAGCTAAACATCTAATATATATATATATATATATATATATATATATATATATATATATATATATATATATATCACACCCCCAAACCAGAACGGCAGAAACGTCTGGGGGTGGATGACTTCATGTACAGTATCATAATAAATGAATAATAGTGATCAAAGCCATACAAACATCATAATTTATATTTAAGAGTTTACATTGTATCCAAATTTTGTTTGTTCCGAATATTAAATACAAAATGACAAAAGAAGGTAATTATCATGATGCAATGACGCTCCATCCTCAAAACCGTTTCGATTACTTGTTTACTGATTTCCTGAGAATACAAGCAGTTTTGAAAAAGTGTCAACAATTAAGTTTGTGAGTTCATAAGAGTTTTGTATGAGAAAAATCGGTAACTTTTCCTTGTAGAAATGATAGAGTGTGTTGTCAGAAAATCCAATATTTTCTTTTAAAGTGAGTTGTATGTCTTAACCCAAAGACCAAAATGTAGGTTGTACTGTACTGGAAAATAGTATTATGTAGTTTTATCATTATATAAAACTGATTTGAATGTATGTTAACCCCGTAAACCAAATGTATTGTTAATACCCCATGTGATTTATTATAACCGTGCTAGCGACTAGTTGGCCTGCTACGACGTTCTTCAGGCGTCAGAATGTTAGACATTTGTCACCCTAGACCTGTCGGTCTAACTGTAGCTAACAGCTTAGATGCGGGGTTGTCAGTCCCGTATAGATCTATACACAAGTTTCACGTTCTCTTACCGAGACTCTGGTTATAATTCAGGAACTTTAGTATGTACTCAAGTAGGTACGGTGAAGGCTATGTCTCACAAAATTGTATTAACAGGTTTACGTCTAGTGTAATGAAAACCCTTTTTACAAATGAATGGCCCTCCCATAGTGGTTACATAGTGTAAAAAATAATTATACCTTTAAATAATTATACGGTTCATGCAAAATGAGGAAGTAATATTTGTGACTCATAAACTATACCAATTATAGTTTATTATGAATGTTTTGTTATGTCCATTATATAATCATATATATAAATAAGTATAAGTTATCAAGTCTAGATGTTTTAAAATATTATATCTCATAAACTTACATCTAACACAAGTATGAGAACATTTGGTATGAAAAAGTAAATTTCTAGTTTTTGCACCTTTTTAACGACATTTACCGATAACTAGAAGAAGATAACTTTGTAAAACTTATCTTTACCATTTTTTGAGATTTTTACTTGAAATAACTTTATATGTTTTAAAACCATATATTTTAGTTAAAAACCCACAAAATGATGTCATAAACTTGTTATGACCCCTTTTGTTTGAAAATCCATTTTTACATAAAATGATAGATTTTAGAGTTCTCTTTTGTAAAGCTAACTCCTTGGTATTTTTGTCTAGTTTCCAAAATACCTTACTTAAACAACATATTTTGGGTTACATCTCACAAAAATTGTAAAATAACTAGGATCTACCATTTTTGCTAGAAAACCATATTTTGACCATAAAAATCTAAATCCTTGTAGCTTGGTAGTTTTAACATTTTCTAAAGAACATAAAACATAGTTCATGTTTGATTTTCTTAGTTTTGCATCACTAACATATCACAATTTAATGTTCAAATAACTAGTGAAAACCATATTGCATGTAAATAATACTTTGTACACAACATAGAGATGAACATGTATAACAATTTCTTTCTATTATATAGGTTTGCTTGTATTCCTCCCCCCCCCCCCCCTAAATCATGAAAATCTCGAAAGTATGGGGTATGAACTCACCTTAAGTGTGTTTGAGGTTGGTTAAAGAGATGAAGATGAAGATCCTCAAGCTTAGAAAACTTGAAGGTGGTTGAAGAGCACTTGAAGATGGTATTATCCTATGAGTTTTAACACATAATAATGTGTGTAAATGAGAAGAAACTAGCATGAAAGTGTGTAGAAACACTAGATTATCAATGAATACTTACCAAAAATGCTAAGAACTGTTACGCCCGTGTTTCGGGGCTAAGCATTAGTAGATGATGTAATAGTCTAGGTCAACTATTGTAACTCTTTTGAAGTAATAAAGATGAATTATTTGAGTATTATGTGAATTATGTGCATTTATGTGCTTATTACTTATTTATAAATGTATAATAAATAAAGGATAAAAATAAGCGTCAAAAATTAAAGTGTGAGATAAGCCTGATATCTTAATATAAAGTTGTAGTGGTCGAAACAAGGATTCTAGGGATATAAAGAACGCCGAAATCCGAGTTATAACGAAGAAGTTATGACCCGTCGAAGTTCCGCGACGGAACTGGCACGACACCGGGAAGCGTAAATAGTGAATTTACGATAGAATGAATTTTAGCCTTAGAAATATAAACTAAAGTCGTAGAAAACATTAAACCGAGAGCGTGCATAAAAAGAACGCCCAAATTTGACTTCGTATGAGGAAGTTATGATTTTTCGAAGTTTCGGCTTAGCGGTGTACAGCCCGAAGTTCGAATATTAGATCGAGCGGTTTTTAGCCGACACAACCTAAACGAGAATCGAAGATCTCGTTAATAGTAGCGTGACGATAAAAAGACAGACGATAACGGACGTCGGATGAAGAAGTTATAAATT